CTAGCCAAAATATATGCTTGAAGTTACATTATAAATTAGGACGTTTGAGCGATTTGAAAATGTGTCTGATGTTAGAAACGGGACATTTAAGAGTCCCGATAGACGTTTTCGGGACACCGGGAACGATCGTGAAAAAATGGGACAAGGGCACAGCGAGACACAGTGATCACCCTACACAAGAGATGTATATTATAAAAGATGGATATGATATCTATATTTATATTTCATTGTAATGTATCTCAGGTCTCTGTCTACATAAATTCACGTTTTTCTTTAAGTTTAGAGAGAGAGAAGAATCTCTACTTGCGAGTTGAGGCGAACAGCTAGTCGAACAAGAAGTGACCACATTAGGAATCATGGGGGAAAAAAAAAGACAAATTGGTTGGTGCCATCCCAATTCGCCAGTAAATGGCCCAAACAAAAAATAATAGGTTTGGCCACCTGGTCAAAGTCCCTGTCAACTAACCTGCATTGAAAGTTTACCATAGCACGCCTTCTGGTCTCGGGGCCAGAGCAAGATTATGGCGCCATTGGCTGTGTTAAGGACACACTAAAAATGAAAAACATGACCCTCTCTGCGATGCCTACCTGTTCCAGGTAAAGGGAAAAGAAGAAGAGCAATGAAATAGAAAAAAAAAAGTTTTTTTTTAAAAAGGGGTGGGGGTGGGTGAAGCTGGAAGGGAAAAAAAATGTTTGCGGTTTCGTTAATTAACAAAAAATAATAATGATGAAATCAATTACAACTTTATTGACTTAATGTATTTAAATAACGGATTATTTTTTTTTAACAAATCTGGTCAATTAACCATTTTAGCGGTGCGAGGTAGACTGGTTGTTTAAAAAAAAAGTGTTGGAAAAAAGTGTGTGTGTGTGGGGGGGGGGGCGAGAAAAGTTATGTTTATGATGGTGGGGAAGGATTGGAAAGTGAGTCACATTCTGATTCGATCAACTGGAAATCTCCTAAGCCTAAACCAATTCAATAAAGCTCTAGCGAGTCGGAAGCAGTCCCCATAATCTTCTGGCCGATTGTCATAAAAATTCGATATATCTGGCATATATATATATACACATAAACTGTAGGCCCAGCTGTCTCAAAAGCTCAGTAAGAATATGCTCACAATTAAAAAATAAATAAAACACAAAGAAGACTTACTTAATAAATAGGTTTTTATTTACTTTATATTTTTTCTAGTTCCAATGGTTAGGGGGAAAAGAAAGAGGGGCAGGGGTTTGCGAATCTCAAAACCGCTACTCTTAATAATATCCAGCTTTAGTTCAAATGAATAGCTATCATTTCATATCTACATTTATGCGATAACCAGCTAGTTGAATTGAGATTAAATATGAATAAAGAAGACTGTTAAAATTACGAAATGTGAGATATTGTTCCACAAAAAAAAAAAAAAATTAAAAAAATTAGGCTATACATTTTACAATTCCTCAACGTGGTTCAACCGGAAACTGCAATGCTTTTTTTTCTTCTAATTTCGATATAGGGCACAGTGAGACACAAGGGCACAGTGAGACACAAGGGCACAGTGAGACACAAGGGCATAGTGAGACACATGGGCACAGTGAGACACAAGTGCACAGTGAGACACAAGGGCACAGTGAGACACAGGGGCACAGTGAGACACAAGGGCGCAGTGAGACACAAGGGCACAGTGAGACACAAGCGTAGAGTGAGACACAAGTGCACAGTGAGACACTAAAAACACTGTTGGCCACCCACTGCATCCTTGCCTCTTCCCAGTCGTCTTGAATAAGTCTCGTCACTGGATCAAAACAGGCAAGGACGGGAGAGTAAGGCCTACGATTTGCGCAACTCTCCCACACTTTCATCAAAATAACGCGCATGTCGTGGCTATTAACTCTAGATGTCTAAGTTACCCTATTTGCAATTCCCTATCAACGTGTGTCCTACGCGCGAGAAAGCTTTCTACGCTCAAATAGGACTGGCTACCACCTGCGTACTCACCTTTGATATTAAAGCCTTGGTCATCTTTGCTAGCAAAGGACGAACAGTACCCCCCCCCCCCGACAAATGGCATAGTCTACCTTAAGCAGAAAAGTAACCATAAATTTAAAAATAATTAATTAAATGCAATAAATGTATTAGATATGCTGCCGCAAAAAAAACCACAAAAAAACAAACAAAAAAAAACAACAACAAACAAATCAAGACGATATTATTTTTTAAAGTTAACACTAGAGTAGGGTGACCAAATCATGAACTGGAAAAAACGGGACACACCCAATGAGGGTTTTGGGGGATACCCTCCAGCTAATTTGAGACTTTGAAATCTTTTTAAATTTGCCTTCACTTTTGTAATTTAATTTAAACTCGGAGGCGTATCATAAATGAAAACAATAATTTTACAGTGAATACTTATTTATTTATACATACAAGATCTATGGCAGGGACACTG